GACATAAATAGATTGGTATATGGATATAAATATATAGATAAGATATATATCATATATATATACAATGATTATATATATATATATATAATATATATATATATATATATATATATATATATATAGTATATATATATTATATATTATATATAATATATATTTGTATATATATATATATATATATATATATATATATATATATATATATATATATATATATATATATATATATATATATATATAGCGAAATAAGGGGGGGCAGACAGTGTGTGTGTGTTTCTAGTAGCAGAGAGAAGAAGAGGAAGAGAGAGAGATTAATATTTTGTATATATGTCTATATACATATTCATATATATATATATATATAATATATATATATATATGTGTGTGTGTTGTGTGTGTGTGTGGTGTGTGTGTGTGTGTGTGTGTGTGTGTGTGTTGTGTGTGTGTGTGTGTGTGTATAACAAATAGACAAAGCCAGAGGAAGACAGAAATGTATCGCGACGCAACGATTTATCGTGGTTTTCCCGATACAATTCGTTAATAATCCCATTATGATACCGATAAACCGAGTAGTTAAGGTGATACCGATATCAGTACAAAAAGTATCGGTCGAGACGTATCGCCGATACATGTATCGCGATACTGCCCATCCTCTGAATATGTATATGATGTGTGTGGTGTATATACAATAAATATACATTTAGATACAAACATACACGTATTCATACATATACATATATATGTGTGTGTGTGTGTGTGTGTACAGTACATGTATGTATGCATATACAAAATATAACATGTATATATATAGGTATATATGTACGCATGTATATATATATATATAATATATATATATATATATATATATATATATATATACATATAATATATTATATAATATATATTATTAATATATGTATATATATATATATAAACATATATATGTATGTTGTGTGCTGTATATGTATATGTATGTATACATATGTTTATAAATATATTATATATATATATATATATAAATATATATGTATATATATGTATATAATATACATATATAATATTTATATATTACATACATAAATATATGGATTATGAAAAATGAATAGTATATATTACTGTATATAAGCATATATATACATACATGCGCACACACACACAAACTTTATGACTAATATATATATATATAATATAATAATAATATAATATATATATATAATATATTATGTGTGTGTGTGTGTGTGTGTGTGTGTGTGTGTGTGTGTGTGTATATATGTTTGTGTGTGTGGTATATATTATTTGAACTAATTAAGACATGTATGCGTGCATACATAGATACATGAAGACGCGTGTGAGTACTGGTCTACAAGAGCAACAAGTGAAACTAGTGCAGGGTCAGTAGGTGTGGCCCGGCGGTCGACCGTGAGTGCGAGTATAAAAGGCTTCGACACTCATTCATCTCAACGTTGCAATCATGAACGCAAAGGTGATGACTTCCTCAGTCTTTGGTCTGACACACGAGTTGCTAAAGCAGTCGTCAAAGGAGCGAGTGAAAGATTCTTCTCTATAGGATTTTTAAAGACAATCTGACTCCCCGCAGGTCGTCCTCGTCGCCTGCCTGGCCTCCGTCGCCGCTGCCCGCCCTGACACTCCCCGCGACGGCTACAGCTACGAGGCCCCTGCGCCCAAGTACTCCGCTCCTCATGCATCATACGAGGTAAGTCGGGTCGGGGGTTCCTCGGCCCACTCAAGGCTCTCAGGATGAGATTACCAAGTGAAAACTTGCCTCTGACGAAGGCAAAGAATGACACTCAACAGCGGCGTCTCGCCATTGCAGAAAGGAATGCCCTTTGACTTTGCGTACGGAGTAGTGGACCACTACAGCGGCAACGACTACTCCCACAACTCCAACTCTGACGGCAACGTTGTCAAGGGCGAATACCGCGTCCTTCTTCCCGACGGCCGCACGCAGATCGTCTCGTACACGGCCGATCACGTCAACGGCTACGTGGCCGAGGTCACCTACGAGGGCGAGGCGCACTACCCCGAGACCAAGCCTTACCAGCCAGCCCCTGCCTACTCCGCCCCTGCCCCCGCTTACTCTCCCCCCGCCCCCGCTTATTCCGCCCCTGCCCCTGCATACGAGGCCCCAGAACAGACCTATGGTACCCCTTCCCCGGTCTACGGAACACCTCATTAACTCCTGAGTAGAAGCTGAAAGAATGATGTCAGCATAATTATTTATTTTGTAACACGAATAAATCTAGAAGCAACAACGTATATTATTTCCATCGCGTTAAGAGCTTTTTTTATAAATATACCTAATCCCTTCATCCTACGTTTTACGTCACTTATTACAGCAATATAAGCCTGCATAAATCCACAAGAAAGCAAGCAAAATATGAAGTAAAAAGGTGAAGAGACGGAGGAGGGGGGGGGGGGGTACAGTCTTAAAATTCAAAGAAATTGAAGAATGGTAGGAGGGGGGCGACGCCCATTGCATGTCGTTCTTTTCTTTTGTTATCATTCAGATAAAGGCTTGAGAGGAAGGAGGCAAATCTTATACGAGTATATTACGTGAACTTGAACAAGAACGCAGGTCACCTACGAGGGCGAGTCGCAGTACCCCGAGACCAAGCCTTACCAGCCAGCCCCTGCCTACTCCGCCCCTGCCCCGCTTACTCCGCCCCCGCCCCTGCTTACGAGGCCCCAGACCAGACCTATGGCACTCCTGCCCCTGTTTACGAAACCCCGGCACCTCTCTTTGGAACCCCATCTCATTAGTTATGGAAAATTATCTGTCATAATATACTTATTTCATGAAATTAATATTGAAGCAATGTGAATCCCCAGTTTCTTCCACTTCGAAGGGAAGTTAGGTTATATTTCCCAAAAAATACAATGTTATACAACCAGTTTGTTGCAAAATGCTCGAAGCACGATCCAATAGTAGATATTCAGATATACGGATATGCATATACACAAATAAATGCAGTTCTGTCTATCTTATAGATAAATTTTATCTATCATTCTGGTATACATACAGATCTAGACTGATATACATTTACTTCACATTTACTTCAATGCATCTGCTTGCCTGTATAGTGAACATTATGTCGGGCCTCGCACAAAGTTAACAAACCGGCCGATAATCTATACATAATTTATAATGAAATGTTACATACTGCACAGTCAGACATTTCGAAGTACTAAAGTTTTATAAGGAGCCAACATTTAGCGCCAAGATAGATTAGCTAATATTATGTAAAATATTATCAATTCAAAAGTAAGGCTTTAAAAAATTACTTCAGTAGTCTTTAAAAAGATTGANTATATATATATATATATCCACACAAGCCCTTGGTGAAAGAGACATAATTGTTGATATATATATTTACTGACTGCGCACTTGAAGAAAACCTGAAGAGGGTATCTAAATATTTATTTTCTTTTTCAACTTTTCTATTATGTCTGATGTTATATACCAGAAAACAATTTTATTCTTTCCATCTTTTCTGCTATTACGGTCGTTATCACCAATCCACTTTTCCATTCTCTTTCGTCCTTTTTCGTTTTTTTTTTTCTATTGACGATAAAACACTACTATGTTTATGATTCAATAAACATCCGTGAATTAATCATTCGTTTTAATGGCTATTTTCAGAAATAACTTATATATTTTTTCATTTCGTATTATTTAAATATCTTAGAGCAGTGATCCCTTATCTATAATTTCTTCACCTGACTAAAAAAAAAAAAAAAAAAAAAAAAAAAAAANGCTCAACTCCCCGCCCCCATACACATACACACATTTTACAGCACTTTCAGTACCAGTATAGACGCTTTTAATCCAATAGTCCGTGTTGGAATTCCTCAGTCTCAGGATCTCCCAGAGTGATTCCTGATGCACCGTATCGAACACCTTTTTGAGGTCGATGTAGGCAGCAAGCAGCCCACGCCCGAATTCGCGAAGGCTCAACAATGACTCGAAGCGCAAGGATACGGTCTATTGTGGACTTACCAGGAGTGAATCCAGATTGTTCCTGCCTCCTGTACCTCAGTAGGTAATCTCTGATACGTCTCAGAAGGATATGGGCAAGATCCTTGCCTGGTAAAGTGAGTAGTGTGATGCCTCGGTGGTTGCTGCAGTCCCATCGGTCCCCCTTCCCCTTCCAGAGAGGGATGACCACACCCCTCAACAGGTCAGGGGGAACAGTACCGGACTGCCAGTTAAAAAAAAAAATGCAGCTTGATAATTATGCATAAAGGAATGAAATCCTACTTCCAACTCCTCTATCTCTACTTGGATTCCTACAAGGCCAGTCGTAGACCCAGCTGTAGATTTTATTTGTACTAATATGGTCAGATTTCAGGTGAGATCTATCGCATCTTTGAAATGGTTGCCTGAAACATTTCTAAATTATTTGCGCTATATATAGGTAAGGGACCACTGTCTTAGAGGAACTATTTTTTTCGTCAGTTAGACTACCAGAGATCACTTGAAATTCTAAAGCTTTAGATTCGACTACCAAAACTACAAGAACAGTACATACGTCTGAAATAATATTTTGTACCAGTACATTTCTGAAGTCAAATCTAAATCTCTAAAAGATTAACGGCATTTAAACGATTCTACAAGCAATCGCTGACGTCTTTCTGATTAACAATATAAATGCTAAAATGATACTACCTACAACAGATGAATTTCTAAAAAACTTTACTGTAGAGTGAAATCCTAAAAATGTGTATTTTTTGTCTGTTTGTTTGTTTTTCATGCTAGGATGTAGATGCTATTTTTGTATTTGGTTTGCAGCATGAAATATCCTTAAAAAAACGACTTACATTGAACATTTGGTGTATGCATATAAGGAAGTAGAGTTCAAGACAAGTGAAGAGACAGGCAGACATACAGCAAACGAAACAAAAGACAGAGTAGGAAACAGCAAACAGACAGGGCAGGAAACAACAGAGGGACAGACAGGGCAGGAAACAACAGAACAGACAGGGCAGGAAACAACAGAAGGACAGAGAGCAGGAAACAACAAACAGACAGGGCAGGAAACAACAGAAGGACAGAGGGCAGGAAACAACAGAAGGACAGAGAGCAGGAAACAACAGACAGACAGGACAGAAAACAACAGAAGGACAGAGAGCTGGCGTTCCACAATCCACGTCGCCGTTAGTCGAGCTTCCACTTGATCCCCGGCAGAGGCCACGTCCGCCGCGAGAGGGCCCTGTAGAGCAGGTGGGCCCCCTTCGCCGCCACCCCCAGCACCAGGAAGACGTCCAGGAGCAGGAACTCGGCCCAGGAGAGCTCCGTGACGGGGGAGCGGAGGTGGGGGGCGCCGCCGTGCCGTACGACGTACTCGGTCCAGTAGACGGCGCGGTCCTGGGCCGACTCGGGCTGGTCTCGGAGTGTCTTGGAGGCGGTGGTCACTCGCTCGAGGTACCTGGGGGTCGGGGAGGAGGTGTCACGTAATGCCAATAAATAGAATTAACTTGAACATTTTAGTTTGTTAAACTATATAAATAAACAATACAAACGCGACAGAACGATTGGGAGTGAATGAAACGAATCGCCAAGAAAAGAATCGTTAAGAAATAAAGAAAACTCTGAGCTTTAATACTTCGGATTGTTGATGATCTCCTGAAGTGTCTCCACCAGGAGGTCGACCGTCAGCTCCTCCCACTCGAGGCGGCGCCCATAGCCTTCGTTCTGGATGAGGGCGGCGACCTTGGCCTGATCTCCGAAGATGGGAAGAGCCAGGACGGGCGTGGCGTGGAAGACGGTCTCCTGCATACTCAGGAGCCCGCCGTGTGACAAGAACACCTTCACGTTCGGATGAGCTGTGGCCAAGAAAAAGCGTCTCCCATTCATCTCATCGTGATTATAATTTACTATTCAGCTTTTCGTTCATTCTATAGCATCCCCAGCCACACGTTACCATGTTCTCGAATCCCACTCAATCTAGATGAAAGTGGAGGACTAAAATACGAGAAGACTTAGTCCCATCCCCACGACCTCTCGAGCCAAAACCACCCACCAACACACAACCCCCCCCCCCCTACCACTCCCACAGCGGACCAGCCAACCACCCACCGAGAATATCCTGCTGGGGGAGCCACCTCCTCACCAGCACGTTGTCGGACACTCCCGGGACCACGTCCTCGTACTTCCAGATGACCCTCTGCTTCATCCTGGCGAAGGCCCTGGCGAAGAGGTCGCGGTGCTGGGTCGGCATGGAGTCCCCCCTTGCCATGGAGCCGAGGCTGACGTACACCACCCCTGCCTCGCCGGCGCCGCGGACCCACCCTGCCAAGTCCTGGGGATGGGGGAGGGTGGGGGGAGGGTGACTGGTGTTGAAGAGGCGTGAAGGATGACTTTGGTGTTGAAGAGAAGTTTGTGGATGATGACTTTGGTTGGTGTTGGAGAGAAGTTTGAATCTGACTTTGATTAGAGTTGAAAAGTTTGTGAATTATAACTAACTGGGGTCGAAAGGACGGTAAACTATCTTTAACCGTCCTAAGAAAACATATCTTAACTAAATCTCAAAAAAGAAGAAAAAAATATAAATAAAAAAATTAATAAAAAGTAAATAACAAAACCATGTAATTTTTTAATAGTCTCCCCAACCAAAAAACATGAAAAAAGTCTGCCACAAGCATCAACATCAAGACCCAGACACTCACAGACACAGCCCAGACTAACCTGAGGAAGGGGCTTGGCAGGCTGGCAGTGGATGGCCCCGATCTGGACCTGGGACGGCAGCAGAGGCAAGGTCATGTCGACGCTGAAGTGGGAGTTCACGAGGGCGAGACTTTGGTTCCTCTCCAGGTCGAGCAGCGGAGGGAGGTCAGGGAAGTGTCTCCTGACCTTTAGAGGGGAAGAAAGAGGCATGGGGGTGACCTTGCGTGTAGCTAATGTCACTTGACCTTAGAGGGGGAAAGAGGCAGATGGATGACCTTACGTGTAGCTAATGTCACTTGACCTTAGATGGGGAAAGAGGCAGATGGATGACCTTACATGTAGCTAATGTCACTTGACCTTAGATGGGGAAAGAGGCAGAGGGATGACCTTCCGTGTAGGTCAAAGATCGAAGGGACAGACAGGTAAACACAAGGTCATACTGGAGCCACTTCACATATTAAAGTGGTATTTATCTTTTATTTCTTGTTTAGTGTCTCTGGGTTCACTTCCTCTCCTCAACTGGACTGAAGCCATCTTATAAAACCATATTTCTAGGAATCAATATTTACTCCCACAAATGTGCTCCGAAAACCCACTCACTCTTCTTCACTTAAAACCATTCCTGGAGACCCCAAACTCGAATAATTAAAAGACTAATAAACAAACGTAGAAATGGTTTGAATGAGAATGAGCATCTTCGTCGGAAATACATGTATCTCTGACGAAGATGTATTCGAAACCGGTCAAATACGTCTCTTGTGAAGATAAATTCTCATTCATACCTTTTCTACATTCATCAACATGAATACGGTTCACTAATAAACAAACTAACTCATATATAACCAACCCCTTCACAACGAACACCCACTTAGCTCATCCACACCCAAAACAACCCAATAACCCCCACCACCAAACCACCCATCCACAAACAACCCTTAAACTATAACAACACACCCTTCTCTCCCTCTTACCTCATACTGTATCGCAGGCACCACGACGTACCTCCAAACCGCAGCATAAATCACATGAAACAAGACATTGAAGACCTTGTCATGGAGGTTCCACGGCCGGGCGAAGTCAAATAGCAACGTTGGAACATAACCAGGGTGGTAGTAGTTCCCCATAACAGCGCTGTGTTGGTAGTTATCTCCAACGGTCGATATGGTGATGAGGGGTAGTTCGTGGGCGAATGCGTATAGTGCCTGTGGGGGTGGTGAGGAAGGGTGGTGAGGGAGGGTGGTGAGTTATGGTGAGTTAGTTTTTATGGTGATGAGTTGTTATGGTGAGGGAGGGTGGTGAGTTTTATGGTGGTTAGGGAGGTGGTTGAGTGTTTATGGTGGTGAGGCAGGGTGGTGAGCTTTTTTATGGTAGTGGGAGAGGGTGGTGAGTATTTATGGTGGTAAGGGAGGGTAGTGAAGGAGGGTGGTGAGTGTTTATGGTGGTGAGTTTTTAGGGTAGTGTAGGAGGGTGGTGAGTGTTTATGGTGGTGAGTTTTTAGGGTAGTGTAGGAGGGTGGTGAGTGTTTATGGTGGTGAGTGTTTATGGTGGTGAGTTTTTTATGGTGGTGAGTTTTTAGGGTGGTGAGTATTTTTATGGTGAGAGTGTGGTGAGTTTTATGGTGGTGAAGTTTTATGGTGGTGATGAGATGGTGATGTGGGCTTTTACGTGGGTGGGTGAGAAAAAGTGGATTTTTAAAATATTATTTTATGCAATTCCACTATTATTTTACACTATGCTGCTTTAATTTAATAGATACGATTGAAATAAGTTTTTTTTATTTCTTTCATTACTTAGTTGTTATATTACTAGATTGGCTTAATTTACGTACAAAGTGATATACAGAAAACGTAAATACATATCACAGAAATGGGTAAACAAATATATTGATAAATTAAGATACATAAGCAAATAGACAAACGTACAGATAGGCCAAGAGATAGATAAACAGACATATACAATAGAAAATCAAACAAAACAGATAAAACAAAAAAAGGGCCCAAGAGAGAGATAAACAGGTATAAACAACAGAAAATCAAAACAATGCAATAGATAAGATAATAAAATTGGGCCAAACAAGAACCAAAAGCATAAAAAACATAAAAAACATTCTCTCTCTCTCTCTCTCTCTCTCTCTCTCTCTCTCTCTCTC